TCTGAACAGAGCTGGGTCAACAATCCTGAATCCTTGGTGGATTTCAAAATCATTCACATGATTTGGTGGTGCCAGGCTTTGAGGAGTGGAAAAGCAATAACCTTTTAAAATAATTTCTATCATTGACCTTCAACTCGTGAAATGTCTTTTTAGATGACTTAGAAATGGAGAAGAGGAGATCACACACAACCCGACGTACAAAGATCAACAAGAATGTAAATGTGAGGAGATGGAGGTGTGGGTTCTGTTTTCTAAAGTTCTGCCACGGTACATAAACCTTTGCGTTCGATAACCAGCCCACACAACAGCTGTTTCCTTCTCTGTACCACCGTGTCTTGGCACATTCAGCGACATCTGCTCTAAATATAGTTTGAATTCCTCTTGTTAAAAATAAAGTGAGTAATTTAGCTACAAAGCAGCAATCCTACAGCTGTCAGAGACAAGACATTTTAAAAGGCACTTTGTTGAGATTTGTACTTGCAGTTTTTACACCACAGACCTTCTTTGATGAAGACCGGGTTAGTTTTTATTTTAAGGTCACAGGCATAAGCATCCAGCCCCCAGCAGCAGAAGCAGCGTTTGAAAGGTCGGGGCAGCTAGTAGGTTCGTACCACTGCCTGTCTGTGTTTCTACTGAAACTGTTTGACTTCCAGTACCAGCAAAATCACTTCCTCTAAACAAACTCTCAGAGGCACTTTTTGTTGTGGAAGCTGTCCTGGTCTCCGCCGCGTTCCCAGTGTTTCCTTCAGCTTTTCCTCCAACAGACACGCCATCCTTGGGGGGCTGCCGTTCAGAGATTTCCCCATCTGCACTCTTGTACCACTGGCACTGGAAGTCCTTTTTCCAGATCTCAGCTGGATCTGGTTCAGCCGCTTTAGTCTCTGCATCTGGCTGTTGGGTGGCTTCTGCTCCCTCTGCCTGAGAGAGAACGATAAAAGTAATCCTTTTGTTTTCCAAGATTAAATCCATTATTTTTACATTTTACAGTGTCTGTCCTATCTAGAGTAGAGATAAAAAAAAAACAGTCACTGACATTTTGTCGTGCTTAGTTGAAGCTTTAGGGTTTTTTTTTTTTTTTGGTTTTAAATTATCACAAAAAGGGACTTTAAGAAATAAATATTGGCAAGGCAAAAAATTAGGGCTGCAAGCAACCAGCGAATATTTTAGTAATCGACAATTTTATTGACTATCCTATTATTTAATCACTTAAGCCTTTTCATGAAATATTAGACGTACATTAAAAAGGCTAATAAACGAGTAATTATATTCATTTTTTTAAATAAAAATAATTTCCTAAAATGCAATAATATAGCATTACTTTAGTGTACACTTCCTCATTTGTGGCTAAAAGCTTTTTGTTTGTATTTATTTGTATTTTAAACATTTATGGATGTCTTTTGTACAGCTTTGGATGAAAGTGTTTTTTTTTTTTTTCAGCAAATGTCCTCTCTTTATTCTACGTGCTCCAGTTAACGATTACTTGATTACTGAATGAGTTGACGTTTATTTCAATAACCAATTAACCACATTTAATCCAAATAATCATTTCAGCCCGACAGAAAATAGCCGCTAACTTCTGTTTATAGTTGGATGTAGCAGCATAAAATTCCCACGTTTGCACCTGTTCTGACAAGAGCACAATGTCAATCTGCCAAGTTTATTTGTGTAACACATTTCAGCAACAATGCAGTTCAAAGTGCTCCACATCATAAAAACACAAATTCACAAAAATCCCACTTTCCTACCTTTTCTGTTGACTTGTCTGCAGCACTGGGTTGGGACGGCAGGTGGAGGTAGGCGGAGCTGTCTGGGTTTTGACGGACACAGCGACCCTTCCCCTGACAGAGGGAGGAGGAACAGGACTGAGTCGCAGTGGTAACGTTGACGGCGTAAGGGCCCAGGACTTTACGGACAAACACGGCCAGGTCTTGGCACTCTCTCTGGGGACAGATGGGCAGAATTAGGCATGAGCAGATGAAGCATACAGGACGATGGAGGCAACAAGCTGAGCAGGTTTGATTTATAAAGACCAGGTTTGACGGGCCCTGATTAGTGCACTCAGGTAGATTCGCCAAATGATGCAACAAGAAAGAGATTGGAAGCAAAAATAAGACGGATAGATAAAAAGCGAAACGGTAGAAAGGTTCTGGTTGAGCTGGAATCTTGAAAAATAATTACCTCTCGCTGTGTCTTACAAAAGTGTTTAACCTCCAAGTTATTTTATAATTGCAAAACCACAAATTTCAATGTATTTTATGTAATAGCTCAGCAGACAGTTGTTCTTAACGCTTTTGCAAGTAAAAATCTGATCTTCCCCACAGCTTGATGCTGCCACCACCATGTTTCATTCCAGGGACGGTGTATACAGGGAGATAAGAACTATTACAGTTTATTGTTTGCCACAAGCCAGGAAACAGCAAACATGGAGAAAAAATATATTCTAGTCATATGGGAGGGGGAAAAAAAATGAACTTTTTGTGCTGTAATGTTTCTTTCCAGAGAAACTAACACTGCACATCAATCTAAGTACACTATGGAAACACATGGTGATGACAGCATCATGCCGTGGGGCTGCTTCTCCTCGGAGGGCACAAGAAATCTGGCAAGTTGATGGAAAGATGGATGGAGGTAAACATAGTGCCGGTTAGAGGTTGCAAATCACGGCCCTAAACATACAGACGTAGCTACAAAATGTCAGCCTTTTGATGACCTGAAGGTGGTAGAGAGCAACTCTGTGGTAAAATCCCAGTGATATATGGAATATACCCAAAGTGGGATGCTTGTATAACAATTTACACAGTGGTTGCATGTTGGTGTTTCTTCTGTATAGAGTACCTCTGTTTTCATCTCACTTCTATTCCAGATGACAACTCCTGCTGTTCCCATGGCAGCACATTCTCCTATAGTGTTGATGAGGTCAGCCTTAAAAAAAAAGAAAAGAAAAGCAAGTTTTCCCAAAGTACGTTTTAGTCACTTCATTTATGGTATTGCACTTTAAGATTACTAGACGTTTTGCTTCTAAGCGGTGTGTCTTACCTGTGATAGGAAAGTTTTACTTGAAACATACACGCTCTTTACCAAAGGAAAAACAGGCAGGTCAAACTCTGCTCCAGCCACCGATGCTACTCGTAGTGCTTCTTTTATTTGACTTGACAGGAAGGACCTGGCTGCCACTGTCCCACCCTGGAGAAAGATATAGACTTAAACAATATACCAAGTACAATTACATTCATGTTTGGTTCGGACCACCACACAGTCCCCAAGTCCACAGAAGTGGATTCTGTTGTCTGTCTAATGTGACGTGATACCTGCCGCTTCTCCAGGGTCAGGAGGGGGAAGAGCGCAGAGCTTCTCTTCCACAGCCACAGAAGCTCATCGTTGAGGGCCATCTCTGCAGGGGGGCACTGGCCGCTGTAATTGCCTAACTGCGTCTGGGCGGGGTCACTGTTATAGCAGCTAGGGTAAGGGGAGAAACCCCACAATGCCTTGGGCCGCAATCGTTTAACCTCCCGCAGAGTCTCCACCATGACTGACTGAGCCGCTGCCTCAAAGTCCACCTGTGGCAAGATGAGGATATCTGTCAGAAATGTCCGATAAATTCCTGTTATCCACCTGAAATAGCCGAATCATGGCCATGATGATGATGTACGTTTAAATAGACATGTTAGAACTAAATGTCAGGAACTCCTGAGCTATGACAGGAAGTATGAGATTAACTCCTCCATCCTTCTGTGACAGCAGCTTACATCATATTTTAAATAATGTTACTCCCACATCTCCTGACCTCCTTTGCTTACCCGTGACCACTTCTCCACTTCCTCTGGGGTCCATTTAGGGAAGAAACTCCGGAGCAGTTTCCTGGAAGCCTCCAGGTACATTGCTTGTTTCTCTTGGTTTCTTGACCACTGGGGGACCCATTCTGCCCAACGGAGGACCCCCAGACCGAGGTACCGGGGCGCAGGCAAAGCCGTCTCCAAGTCTTGCTTCGTCTTCTGCACATGCCCATCCAGTCGAGTGTACTGTGGAATCCCTCCGTTGATTGGTGTGTTTTTGTCCAGAAAATATGGGTAGTTACCCAGCGAATCCTCGTAAAAGACGGCCACTCGACCCTCCCGTTCCATGCCAAAGGACGTAGGGTTTAGGCGACCGGCACAGGAAGAGTCAGGGACACCCCAGAAGATAATGAAAGGCTGTCCAGACAGGAGAGGAAGACGGGCAGGCTCTGCTGGACCAGCATCAGCAAAGGAGCCGATCGAGAACAGGAGTAAAGACGAGTAAAACAGAAGAGTGCACCGTGTGTGTTTTGGTAGCGGCTGTGGATCTGGATGGAGCTGTGGTTCGGCCCACGCCATTGAAGCAGCTCATCTGTTCAGGCCCTCACAGCCAGTCATGTTGCTGGAAAACACAGTTATGAAACAAAGTCAATTCTGATTAGTGATGGAACAACGGTGAGCAGGAGTGACAGGTGTACAAATCACAAGATATGCTTAATTTTCTGGAAGACTCTGGGACACAGCTTGGTGTATGCCAAAGGTCGAGGAAACTGGCAAAAATAATAAGAAAAAAAAGGATGTGCTGGCATTTTTGTCTTTCACAATATTTACAGTTTTGATTTTTTTCTTTTTTGGTTGGGTTCAAAAACCACCAAACCGATAACCTCACTGGGATATTTTGTGCTCCCTCTTATATTAAAAAGCATTAAAAAGTATTAAGCTTGTATGAGCCAGGCTTTCACTGATTGATACCATTTGTGTTTTTCTTTAAAGCCCATCATTAACAGGCTTTAAAGAATCATTAACATCAGTTTTGACTAATTCAGATTTTCAAGGATATAAAAATACAAACTAATTTGTGTAAACTTTGTTTTCATGTGGCTGATGTTTGTGACATTAGCCACAAAATTAAAACATGTCACAGATTCCTTGGTATCGTTATAAATCCAACAAAGAATTAACTACAACGTTTACCCTATTATTAGGTCAAAACAAATATCCCTAAGCTATATTTCATTTGTGTATCAAAGTACAAAGCTGTTTGTTTGCAGACCAAAAAACATGAGAGGATTCTTTTTTTTTTTTAATGAACAGAAAAGAAAAAAATCCAAATGTTCAGGATTGGACGAGGCGCTCAGCGGTCAGAGCTGATTTGGATCAGTGCGACTCGGCAGTGAGGCTTGGATCTTGTAACAAATCAATTCGCAGAGAAACCTTTTCATTATGGAAACCCAGTTATCATTATTGAGCTTCAGTAGGGAGACATTTAGCTGATCGAAGGTAGATGAACTGCTTCGCACTGTCTCTGAAAAGCCACACGTCAGCAAACATCTAAAATATCAGAAATCAGAAAAATAGAACCAAACTGAATTCATTAAATGGCAGCTATATTTTTGTACAGTATTACAATTATGGTAAATTATAGTGTTTTTCTTTTGAGCTGTCTTATAGTTGTCTTATAAAAACTTACTAGAGATAATGAATTCAAAGTATTGTAAGGTTTTAAATGGTGCCTAAAGACTAAAACAAATGAATCTTCACACTGCCAGTCAGTAAAACGGTGCAACTTGATCCTTTTTTACAGTTTTTTAAATTGGCAACAGAAGAAATCAATATTTAATATCTTCCAGCTTGTTTCTTTCACCAAGAAATTGTCACATTTTGGTGACTGAAGCTAAACAGTTGCTTGTTAGTGGTAGCGACTCTCGTCGTGAACACAAATAGCTGCATGCTTTCTAACAAGCCATTAAAAAACGGAAATGTCCCTCTGTGTGAAAAGTGACTGGCGGAGACATAATAGATGCTGTTCTAAATGTCACGAAATTCCCCTAAAACACAGCAGAGAGTCCTGCTTGTTGACAAAAACACCGATTGGGGACACCAGCATCGTCTTCCACTCATACCATGAAGCATTTCTGCTGCAGACATTTCTAATTATCCTGCCTCGTTATACTAATAGCTGGTCTAATATTTTTAAATATAAGAAATCGTGAACCCTGACAGGATAGTAGGTGCCAGTCAAGATGTACGAGTCAAAACTCGCTACTCATTTGTAGCACGATGCTTTATTAATGACGCCAGTGTGAACACAACTCGCCTGAGGAGACGTACGGTATGCAACACGTTTCCTGTAAATTGTAGTAACTGAATGTGTTTCATTTTGTTAATAAATCCAGCTTTTTCAAGGAAGTGCCACTGAAAATGTCAGTGTAACCCCAAATGGAGGGTTGTGGTAATGAATGTTGACAGGTGTCAAATAAGCCTCCAGACACCCAACATTTAAAGCTACTAAGTCCACTGTGGTCAGAGGTCACAGTACGGAGAGTCCTGCTGGTCTCTGAACTGAGCAAGTAGAAAAATGTGGGCAAAAGCAAAACAGCAACTTGGGTATAAACATGATGCTAGAAGCGTTATTTAGTAATGACTTTTTATCTCTTTTTTTTGCTTTGAATGAATCTACTATAGTTTTATTGTGGGTCATAACGAGATATTGCTGTCAGGGGAATCAATCATTATTACTGAAATGAAGCCAACATGCCAACATTCAGTGCATCAAATTTAAAAGACACATCTGGATTTCTGTTTTCACCTTTTTGACACACTTAGTGTTGAATTAGATCTTTAAACTAATTTTAACTTTACACCAAGATAACCTGCATGAAGACAAACATGAGTTTTCAAACAATGATTTTATTTATTAAAAGGGGGGGGGGGAAAGCAACCCAAACCGGTTTGACCCAGTGTGGAAAATGAATCGTCCCTTAAGCCTCATAGCTGGTTGTGCCTCTCCTAACAGCGCTGTTTAGGAGTGACTTTTGACCCACTTTTCTTTACAGAATTGTTCTAACTCTGCCATACAACTTGCTTAAGGACATCAATCCCACACAATCACAATTGGATTAAAGCTGGGATTTGACTAGGACATTCCAAAACCTTTATTTTGCGCTCTGAGAGGCAACCAGAGGTCGACTTCCTGCTGTGGTTTGGATCATTGCAATGCTGCATAACCAAAGTAAGCTTGACCCAAGGTCACACAGTCCTTTCCTAATCAATTTTGGCAAGTTGTCCTGATGCTGACTAAGCAGAGCAGCCCTTATTATCACTATTTTTGACTATCAGTAAGATGTTATTTTCATGAAATACTGTTAGTTTTACATAAAAACTAAACTGGACCTTCCAAAAATCTCCAATTGTGTCTCACTGGCCTACAGAATATTTTCTCAAAACTCTTTGGGATCAGGCAGATTCAATTCCAAAAATACATTTTTGACTGACGGTGAAATTAAATGCATTGCTGATGTATGTTCATACACGTTCAGCAGCGTTATTTTGAAATCTCCCATAGATGTTATGCGATCACGCTGATCTTTTGCGAGCTCTGTTCTAGGAGACATGTTAGTAGATTTAAAAGATTTAGAACAAGCGTCTCTGTTTTTAATGCATTCTGATTCAAGATTACCGTCTCTCTTAGCAATTTCGATACAAACAAAATTTCGACTTTTGGCAAAGATGGTTTCTCTCACATTAATGGCATCTCCTTTTTCCAAAGTGACATTAATTCGGCCTGTAAGTGTTACCTTTTTTATTCCAATAGCTGTAATCCCATCATGATGGATGTAATCCCTATCTCTCTGCTTGTAGTGAGTGGTAAACGTGAGAAGTGGCTAATCTGTTCCGGATAAGCCTCTTCTCTGTGTTTACTTTTCTGTTTGCTCAAACGCTCATCCTGAATCTGCTGCTTCCTCTGTTCAAAGTTGAAAAAAAAAAATGCAACTCACTTTTTTTCCCTCTCTTTTTTTAATTTCTAAGATAATTTACTGATAAAGTATCTCATTTGGGTTAAGTAGCAGGTTAAATACTGTTTTAAAAAAAAAAAAACTACTTTAGGATTACACTTCTTAGCCTTGCCAGAGCAAAGTCATTTTTAGCAGAGAAACAGCGTGTGATTTTTCTACAGAAAGTGTTTCCCGCTCGCTTACACCTCGCAGTAAATGTGTTTGCCTCTCCACCATGAAAGCTTCTAATCTGTGCCAATTAGATAAGAAATAAATAGAGGTCTGACCTGCTGGGAATTTGATTTCTTTTTTTAAATAATCCTTTTACTCGCAAATGGAGGCTGAATGCTATCATCGTCATGCTGCTAGACGTTATTATTGCTTACGGGAAGGGGGTTTCTTTCAACCCAGTGTCGTGTGTTTGGTTTTCTTCGACTTCGAGATAGAAATCGAAGCTTTTCATTCTAAATTAGAGAACTTCTTTGATGTTTCTTTTTTCGTATTCGTAGCCTTGAACGTGTTATTTTCGGCCTCTCTTTGGCAGTGCCACGTTTTTTTTTTGCTTTGTTTTCCTGCGGCGCGTGGCTCAATAAACATGGGGAAAAACGAGCGCGAGGAGCCAATGAGGACGTGAAAGCGGCTAAGATTAGCACGATAAATGCGTCACTTCATCTGGAGGCCAACAAAAGGACCAGTTCAGCTAGGCTGCATCAAGTCAATGTTTACCAAACAGTTAAATGGATTAGGTTGGAGTCATAGAGCTGTTCGACCACACAGGAGCTGCCGCCAGTCGAAAGTTTGCTCCGATTTTCTTTATGCTCGATGACGTTGACACACGCACTCATCATCCACATTAGCAGAACACGTTTACAGCCAACGCTGACATTATGACACTTTATTTGATTTGCTAGTTCTTGAGAATTCACTTTATGCTCCTCCATGTTCATAAAAGAAAAATGTTTACCTTTTCACACACGTCTGCATTTTCCTCTTTTGCTTTTCATGTTATTTATAGGTAGGTTAAGCTGTACAGTTTTATCCATTTCACCAAAACTTAGTGAGCTACACCACAGAAGCAGTGGGTGTTTGATTTTTATGTGATGGAGCATTATTGATAAACTGAAGCTCGAAGCTTTTTCTTTTTTTTTTTTTTTGCCTCATGCAGAACAGCAGCACAGCTTAACAACCAATAAGTTGATGGTGTTCCAGACATAAATACCACAACTGTGTCAAACCAAAATAAATGTCCCTGCAGATTTAAAATGTTTCAAACCCCACTGCATATGCATACAAACTAGCTGCTTTTTGTAATAAACACACCAAAGAACAATGTTAACAGTGTAATATGGCTAATAATGCAAGTGGATTCTCCAGATTAATCACGCAGTTCCACTTTGAACAACTACCACACCTGTTCATGTCAGCATCTTTGGTTTTTAGTAGAGCTCATCTCTGCTGTCATGAGAAATCTGCAGCCATGCTTCATGGACTAAAGCCTCCAGTTCCTTTTTATTGTTGGGTTTGTGTCCTGCATCTGCCTTTTCCAAATCCAACCTGAATTTTTCAATAGAGTGCAGGTCTGTTGACCATTGCAGTATCTTCCAGGACTTCTTCTGAAATCGAGCCT